CCGGAACCTATCACCTCTGGGAGAGACAGCCAGGAGATGAAGAGACCATAAAAATTCCACAGTGAGATGTGTCAGGAATGACATGTTAAAGTTTATGAACAAAAAGGTACATTCTTCTAAAGGCATTGTTTTTATTTTAGGACTCACTTCTTATGGAACTGCTATTACAGTGGATATTGCAACAAAAGGGTGCAACATGTAATTGCCTTCTACAAGACATTATTTGTTATTTAAATTTATAAGCTGCCAAAAGTTGCTTTGCAGAATGGGTGCATATAAATCTAAGATATGCTTCTCTCCTGCTCTGCAATCAACAAGGCTGTTGAACCAACATTCTTCAGATGCATGTACTCCCTCATTCTGTTCTTATCCAGTTGACCATCAGCACTCCATGTTTCATGTAGATACCAACACTCTTAGTGTACTATTGGAGTGATTTTTATTTTGTTCTTTCCCATTTTAAAGATATTAATATATGATCTCTGTCAGAGATCAAATAAATCTGCTGATTTTACTTTTTATGCCATAGTCTGCTGTAAAAATCATGCCTCTTCAAAGTAGATATACTATCTACTTGAAAAGAAAACTAGACCAAATATTTACCTTTAAAAATATTTGAGGGGGTCTTAAATTAATTAAGAACCTGGTAAAAGATGACAAAATTTTAATTTTAATCTTTACTCTTCCTAAGTTGAGCATCTTAAGGACAGGGCTGTCTTCCATTCAATTAAGCAAATGACTTGCATTCCCTTTAAAATACAGGTTGTAACCTATGTGGTTACAAGAGAATTTGGTGTGAATCAGAGTGGGAAAGAGTTAAATTCTCTCATCCCGTCCACTCAGTTCTGAGCTTCCTTGTCAGTGCTATTTATATTTATATGACAAATAGCATGTGTTTTAATTTTGTTTACACTATTATCTTCACCTCTAATTTAGCCTTCCAGAGAAACTGAATCAAAATACTGGTTTCCCAGAAACATTATTTGAAAAGCTCACTTGCAATCAATTTGGAGAGCTGAAAGACAAGGGAAAGTTTAGAGTGCAGCATGAGGCACATAATAACTCCACAATAACACCAACCACATCATCATCAAGGCCAAGAGCAAAAAGGAAACAACTACACCATGATGCAAGTGCGAAGGGAGCAGAGTTTGCATTGCAACTGTCAGATGTCTGTTTCGTCATTTGCTTCCCTTTTATTCCCCACTACAAATACACACTTCTCAATGGATGGGGCCAGATTCAATATGATAGCTTAGAGGGATTGAACAAGAAAGCTACTTATAGATGATTGAGCAAATAAGAAATCTAAAGAATTATGATCATCATCATTATGCCTTGTGTCCTTCTCTCTTCACCAGCCAGGGTGGCGCAGTGGTTAGAATACAATATTGCAGGGTAATTCTACTGACTGCCAGCAGTTCGATTCTCACAGGCTCAAGGTTGTGGCAAGGTCAATAAAATGAGGACCCAGATTGTTGGGGGTAATATGCTGACTCTGTAAGCTGCTTAGGGCTGTAAAGCACTGTGAAGCGGTATATAAATCTAAGTGCTGTTGCGATTGCTCTCCCAATGCCCATCGTCATTTCAAAACCAAAAGGTGGAACATGAGTTTATTCTCCTTCCACACCAAATCTACTCAAGTTTTTTTTTTTTTTTTGCAGATTGGTGGTGGCAGTGTAAGGGTTGAAAAATTCTCATTTTAGCCCAGGTCTACTCAGCTAAAAATAAGCCAAGAGCTATCTGGCAGCAGTTACTTTCCAAGTTAAACATGGTCTCTTTAAAAGGCGGCAGTATTATCTTGGGATACAGAAAGTAGGACTGGCATATGCAGAAAAGAGGAATCTTCGGTGGCATTTGCTGAGCAGGATGGATAGCATCCCTAACTTAATCCCCATTTGTTCTGACCATCCCAGAATGGAGCTGGAACTGGCCTATTATCTCATCGCAAAGCTGAAGAAATCCATATTAAGGTGGGCAACCCATATTTTTCTTGGCCCTGGGTTGGCATATGCCCAAGTTTGGGACTAACAAGACCAAAACTTGTTTAGCAAGTCACTGAGTTGCAACCACGTCTTTGCCCCAATCTGGTGCCCACCAGATGGGATGTATTACGATATCCATAATCCTTAGCCACCACACAAACACAAGAGGTACTTCTACTCTGTATCCTTCATCTTTTTCTCCCACCTGTCAGAACCAAGGTCTCATTGTTTTTCATGAAGTTGTTTATTGTAATCTTTAACAAAGTAGGGTGGGTGAAAGGGAGTTGCCTCCAGGCCTTGCCTTACTCAAGTCTTCAGTCTTCCTTCTCATCTCCATGTGTGATGATATAACACAAAGATTTGTAGTCAATGTTTCCAGCTACATCCATAGGAGCAAGAGAAAACATTTGCTCTACCTAGATAGGAAGAAACCCAGAGACTAGAGTAAGTATGGGAAATCACAGTCAATCAACCTTTGAAGGTCTTGCAGTAAGATCCCTGAGGATTCCTCTCTCCATCAAAGCCCTGGCCAATGGTAAACAACCCATTGGTCACACAGGCGTCCTCAGTCTTTCCAACAGCTCCTGAGAACACCAGCATAAAGTTTTCAAAAATCAACAGCAAACTTCCAACATTTGGTGAGGTGTTTTGAAAAAAGAAAATAGATATGATATGTTAAATAGATCTAATGCAATGATTAAATAACAAAACCTCAGGATCTGAAAAGTAAAATTAAAAATTCCATGTATCATGTCTGAACATGTAGCCAAGGGTAGCCATTTTGAAATAAATTCTATCAGTATCAAGCATTTATCAATTGATATATGAGTGAAAGGCATCTCCTAGGTTTGGTTGGTCTTGTGAGAAAAAAAATTGTGCGAAAGAAGGGATTTTGATAGAAGGATTATCTCACCTCCTCGAGAGAAAACTTGTCAGCTTGAGTTACCAGAAGTTGTTTAAACCTGGAAAACAATTTTTTAAAAGTGTTGTTAAAAAGTGTCAGTGTTGTTGAAAATGTTGCCTACAGAACTCTGGTTTTGGTTGTTCAATAGAAGGCCTGAAGGGATAATAAAACACATACACAAGCACACAGTTCTTGAACTTACTCCTCTTTGTTCACTAAGCCAGTTCCATTTGGGTCAAAGAGTTTGAAGGCAGCAAGGATGGATTCCTCTGGATCAGTGCCTAAAGAAGATACGGTTACTTAGGAACAGATAAAACTGCCTTTTGGAGTTCTTTTCATTGGATATGGATGGCTCTCGATACTGCTTAAATCAAGTGTGGACAAAATTTTCCAGGCTAGAGGATACAGAAGCAACCTTCTAAATAATTAGTATCATAAAGCTAAATTGGAGTTCATACTATTTAAATTGAATTATAATAGAATATGCTTATTGTCATGGATTTAATATTTGTCCTCTTCTATCACATTAAAACAACAACTATGAGATTTCCAGAAAATGGATCCAGGGCTTTAGGATGCTGCTTATCACCCCACAATCCCAGGGATGTGAATCTTTACTTAACCTGGTTATTGAATTAATTGATTTCCTGCGCTGGTACTATACATTGAATTTAAAATCACTGAAACAGGCTGGTTTTGTGCAACATGTTTATCCGCTAGTAAATAAAGATGCACTTTCCCAAGTTTCTTTACTTATTTTGCAGATGTCCCATTAAATTTAATCAAATTTAGGTGGTGTAAATGCCCTCTGTTAAAGCTTTATTAAACCTGGTTAAATATAAGGTGCAATTGCAGCCCCTGACTGCCAGCACCTCTCTAGGACTTCAAATAAAAGTTTTTTTCCCCTGGAAATGTGTTAGATAAAGTCTGGAGTTTTGTGCATGCATGATAGTGGGACTCTGCCACTTAACTGTAGCTAAACAGTGAATCTTGTATGGGGAAGATGTTCCTCTTGTCTTGGGAGAGAAATGACAGAATATATCAACATTCTAAGAAGAAGTGGAAATTTGGGAGTGTTGGAACAAAAGGAAAATATTGAAACTCCTCTTGATTAATGAGCAAATTCCAAGATATGATAATGCTCGCTTACCATTCAGTTTCTCCCCAAAGAGTGTTAAGAAGACAGTGAAGTTAATTGGTCCTTTCCCTTCCTTCAGCATCTCTTCCAGCTCTTCATCCTTCACATTCATTTTGCCTGTAGAAAGAAAGCTGATAGCAGTCAACATTCCTAGCTGCAACAATGGCCTATATTGACTATTGTTTGCTTTGACCAATTGTGAGTCTAAAGTTCCTTCCAGAGTATAGCAGATGTGGAATGTTTGAACAAGGCACAATTCCTGAATGCTTTGTTTTCACTTTTATACAGAATAACAGTGTTGGGAAGGACCTTGGGGGTCTTCTAGATCACGAGGAAACAATCTAGATTCCCAACATCTCGGGAAAATATCAGATATGTGGAATTTTGATAACATCTCTACTTACCAACAGACTTCCAATAGCTGCCTTTTCAGAGAGGGCATCATTTGAAGGTATATTTTCCCTTAACATGGCCTTCAGGACAAGACAATACCAGGACAAAGCAGTGAACCAGTTCATATACAACGTGATAATTTTACAACCACTAGCACTGACTATGTTACCTAGTTTGGTAATGAAACATTTGCAAGGAAACAACCAGGCTCAGAGAGCTCCAAGAGCCCCGTAGTTCAACCCCTAGCTACAAATATTCTCTTTCTATCAGTAACCATTCTCTCCTGCACGTTAAAAATTATAATTTTAGAAGCAATACTTTGACATCTTGGTATCTTGCATCCTAGAATTGAGGGGCCACATCCAGTCCTATGACCTTCACATTTTCTTCTTCTCCTCTAAGGAAAGAATGCCTTGAAACAAAAGACTGTCCTTGGATGGGTCTTCCAATGTCAAATTAAAGCACAGTATACCAGTCGTTGCATGCATGATAAAAAGGGAAAGTTCATTCCATCTTATGAAACTGTTTATTAACAGTAACACCATCCAGAATTGAAGAGGAGTACTTAGAGTTCCAAAAATAACACAACTACAGCTAGTGTTACAGATAAGCAAATTCCATCTTTCTCCTCATCTTCCCCCCTTCACTGTACTTCCACTTTGAAAGATCACTGCAAATGTTGCATTTCGGTCCAGAGAAATGTAACAAATTCTTCAAAAGAAGGAATTAAGAGCAGAGGGGAGCAGAACAAATGCTAAAAGACTCTCTCTCTCTTTCTCTCTCTCTCTTTTTGCAAAGAAAACATTCCTATTGTCTCTAGCATGGAAAGAACAAGAGGAGGGGTGATAGCTGAAAAGGAAAATGTGAGAAATGTTTCTCTCTACCTGAGACCTGTAAAACTGTTCCTGGTCGGAGTAAGCAATACTAAACAAATTAAATAAATAGTCCGACTCAGAGGTGTCCAACATTAGCAACTTTAAGACTTGCGGACTTCAACTCCCAGAATTCCCCAGCCAGCCATGGTTAAACCAGCTAGATGGTTTAATTTATCTTCCACTATACCTGGGCCTTATTAGTATAACCCTTTACATCTTGCTACACTTACTATGAATTTATGTCCTAGTTGTTTCCATGAATAAAGCAGTAGATAAACATACTATCTGATTCAATCTGGCTTTCAAGTTTGGAAGAAATCCAAAATTTTGTGACATTCTGCTGGAAAACTGGCCGTCAAATCTCAGGAAAATGCCAGGCTGTTTTTATTTTTGTTAATATCTTTACTAAAGAAAAAATTCTTGAACTTCCTCAGATTGTTGTTTCATAACCACAGTAAACTCACTCACCGAGTTGACTGTATGTCTCCTTCAAATCAGATTTGCTGATAATTCCATCTCGATTCTGGTCAATGCAACTGAATGCCTTGGGGAGTAAGCAAACATAGTCAGGTTCCTTAAGTACAATTACTCATACAAATATGTTCCTGCCTTGTATTCTCAGGAACCACATTCTTCAGACTCTTATCTCTCCTGCGAGTGTGCTCTTTTAAGAGCGTAGACATCCTTGATGCTTGACAGAAGCCACAAGTGTTATTTTTATTTATTCCTTCACTTTCATGCAATATCTTCCAAATATTTTTT